ATGGAGTTTGGCAGGACCCCATCTTTCCCTGTTTTTGAAAAAAAGCATATAAACATTGTAATTCATTTTTCCTTGAGTGTTTAATATAATTTGTTTTTAAATTTACCTAGTCCCAAGGTTTTTTCTCCCTTTGTGCATTCATTTATAGCTGGTTCAAATTATTTTGGGTTGTTTAAATTCTCTATTTCTTTTTGTTAAACTGGTTACTTTATATATTTGTAACTATTTATCTTTTTCATTTAATTTGTCCTTTATATTGGTATGTTGTTGGGCAAAATAGTTTCAAATAATTTCCTTGATTTCTTCTTTGTTTGCTGTAAATTCTCCTTTTCAATTTTGATACTGGTAATTTGGTTTACCTTTTCATTCTTTAATCAAATTAACTCATATTTTATATATTTCATTAAAAAACCTTATGCCTAGTTATTTAAGAATTCAATAATGTGGAATTCTAGAATGTGATTATTTTCTCAATTTTTGATTGATTTTTTAATAGCAGGATGAGTTTTAACTAGGATAAAAGAGGAAAGGATGTTGAATGATTTTTTTTAATGTTAAATGACTATTTTGGAAAGACTTGGTAAACTTTTTATTGTTAACTTACTATTATTTCAACAATATGAGAGAAAATGATAACTATACCTAGCCCTAAGCTGTGATTAGTGAAACTTGCTATGTGACGTAAAAGTCTCTTGTGATTGTAATTTGATATTATTCTGAGTTTTGAATTCAGATTTGGTTGTCTGAGTGACAGCTAGGTAGTGTGGTGGATAGACTGCTGGACCTGCTGTCACAAAGACTCATCTTCCTGAGTTCAAATCTGTCCCCAGACACTGAGTAACCCTGGAAAAATCACAACCCTGTTTCCTCATCTGTAAAATGAGCTGGAGAAGGAAATGGCAAATACTCTTGTATCTGCCAAAGATACTCCAATATCTTTGCAAGAAAACACCAAATGAGGTCACAAAAAGTTGGATGTGACTGAAATGACTGAACAATAACAACAATTTACTTCAAAAGGTATAATTACAATTATACAAATTGACACTGACAACATGTGGGAGACATAATCCTCTCCCTTCTTCTTGCACCAGCAAGACCAGCTCTCTGGGGAGGAAAAGGGAATTAGGCCCATAACTTTGCTTGGTTCTTGAGTCCCAGGCACCCTGGTTTTGTGGGGCTTCTCTGCTGGATGGGCTGACTTCACCATTCTTTTTGGAATCCTAGTTCCAAGATCACCATGGTTCCAAGTTCCATGCCCTGTAAGGATCACTTCTGTCACCTGAAACTGTAGGGGACAAGCAACACAAAAAAGAAACAAATGGCCTTCCCTATCCATTTTCTTGGAGCCAGGATAAAAGAGAAAGCAGGAAAAAGGAGTCCTACCCTCTCACCAGTGTAGTTCATGGCTCCCACAATGTGAGTGAACTAGGATCTTCATCCTCTGAAGAAAGAGCAGCTGAAAAAGCTGCAGAGAGAGTGGTAGAAAAGAGAGGATGCCTCAGTCTCATCACTTTTAAATATACAGGTAGCCAATCAATGAATGCTACCCTTCCCCACATGGTAGAGGGCGCAGAGGGCTCCATGTTAAGCAATTGGGACATGCTGCAAAAGACACTCAAGGGTACCTCCATTTTAGATGAAATAGGCCTGCCCAGACAAGCCCAGGACACACTAATATTTATCTTTTTATGTTTCTCTTGGCTCTCATACTTGCTTTTAAAAGTTTCTACTCAGCTCTGCTCTTTTCATCAGGAATGTTTGGAAGTCTTCTATTTCATTAAGCAAATCCCCCCATTAGTATTAAATTCATTTTGAGGAGTAAGCCTTTACTTTTTCTTTTTGGAATGTAATATTACAAGTTCATTCCTTTATAGTAGCAGCTACTAAATCTTGGATCTTTCTGACTGTGGCTCCTCTGTACATAAACTCATTCTTTCTTGCTGATTGCCATATTTTTTTCTTTGAAATCTAGATTTTGGTTATGATATTCCATTTTAATTTTGGGGTTTCTTTCAGGAAGTGACCAATGGGTTTCTTCTATTTTCTCTCTGCCCTCTGATTCTAATGAGTCTGGGTAGTTTTCTTTCATGATTTCTTGAAATATGGTATCTAGGCACTTCTTGTTGTCATGGATTTTAGATGCTCAGATCAATGGTTAGGTGATCTCTCCTTGAGCAGTTTTCCAAGTCATCTGTTTTTCATGTGAGATACCTTGCATTTTGTCATTTTTTTAGTCTTTTGACTTTGTTTCAATATTTCTTATTGTTCAATGCTGTTATTAACATGTATTTGGTAGTTTCTAATTGTTAAGGTGTCTGTTACCTGCATAAGTTTCTGTCCCTTTTGTGCTGAGCTATAAATTCTCCCTCTAAGACTTTCTTCCAATGTTCTCATTTTTTTTTGAAATTTTTCTCTAGAGCTCTTATTTCACTTATAACATCATTGAAAACCCTTTAAAAAGGATCTTGCTTCAATTCTAGGATTTGTAGTTGCCTTAATGGCCAGCTTGTGTTTGCCTTTGAGATTTTGATCATTAAGGTCTTAGAGTTATTCACCTCTTCTGATTTTGTGCCTTGGATGTCTCTGGCACAGTAAAAGCTCTTTATTATGAAAATATTTTGAGAGGCTTATGTTGAGGGGGGGAGTAAGTTTGTATATTTGTGATTATACCTTTTGAAGTAAATGTTTCTGTATAAAAAGCTAATCCTCCTGTAAGTGGCTAAGTGGAACTAGTGTGCAGAGGATTCACAGAAACACCCTGTGTGGGCCTGGAACCATTGGTAAGGAGGCTAGACCCCTTCATGCACCTTAGGGTTGCTAGAAAACTTTGGGGAAGGGGTGAGATGTAACAATCATGGTTTTCAAGCAGTGGGGGCCAGGGTAGTAAGTACAGAAATTTGGCCTTCTCAGGGTTAAAATTAGGTTCTTTGAATTTTGGGGGATCACTAGAGAGATTCTCTGATTAGGACTTTTCATTATATATTCTAAATCTCAAGATTCTAGAGAAATTTGCCAAAATTTTTTTTCATTTTGAATTGTAAATATACAGTAGATATCCCCCCGTGTATGTTCCCTCATAAGTCAATTCCATTAGTGTGATCATTTATTGACTGCTTGACTGTCTAAATATTGATACTTTTAATGTTATTGAATTCTGTATAAATATTGGTATATTGACATATTCTGTGTTACTGAGTTCTAAGGAAGTACTGTTATTAAAATTAATGTGAGAAATCTAGAATCACTAAGTTGTGACTGTGAGTAAAGTTAATATTCTTTTAAGAAGGCATTTTTTTAATTTTATTTTTAATAATGGAATAAAACAAGGATTTTCATAACATAATATAGTAAAAAAGATGATTGCTAATGAAATTGCAAATCTACTATGTACAACTTGCTATTCCTTTTAAATATATAGTAAGGTTATAATGTAAATTTCTTTATTTTTCTTCCCTCCCACTTGCCTTAGAGATGGCTACCATTAGACACAAATATGTGTACATATATACCACATATATAAAAAATTACTCTATACAAATGTTTATTTGTTAGTTCTTTCTCTGGATACAGATAGTGTCTTCCTTTATACATCCTTTGTAGTTAATTTGGGTATTTATAATAGTAAAAATGACTTATTTGCTCAAAGTAGTCCTTAAAACAATATTAATAGCACAGTATACAATGTTCTCTTGGTTCTGCTTATTTTGCTCTTAATTATTTCCTGCAAGTCTATCCACATTTTTCTAAAATCATGAAGCTAATCGCTTGTTATAGTACGGTAGTATTCCATCACAATCATATACCACAACTTGTTCAGCCATTCCCCAATTGATGGGCATCTCCTCAATTTCTAGTTCTTTGTCACCACAAAGCGGCTATAAATATTTTAGGATATACAGGTTCTTTCACCTTTTCCTTAATCATCTTTGGAAATAGACCTAGTAGTGGTATTGCTGGGTCAAAGGGTATAGGTGGTTTAATAACTCTTTGGGCATAATTCCAGATTGCTTTCCAAAATGGTTGGATCAGTTCACAATTCCACCAACAATGAATTAGTGTCCCAATTTTTCCACATCCTCTCCAACATTTGTTGCTTACCCTTCAATCATTTTAGCCAATCTTATAAGTATAAAATGATATTTCAAGGTTGTTCTAATTAGCATTTATTATTGTATATTATTATTCTTTTATTATACTATTCATATCATTCTTTTGCATTTAAACATACCTATACTACTTGGGACTGTGATCTATAGGAATTGAGCTTAACTGTGAACCTAATCCCCTTCATCTCCTGAGAGACTGAGGTAGTATAGGGAAGCGGGAGGAGATTAAGCCTCTCATGTGTTGAGGAATAAGTTTATACATTTGTGATTATACCTTGAAGGACATATTCCTTTCAAGAAGTGACTCTATTAGTGGCTAAATGGAACTGGACTACAGGGGACTAACCCCCACAATTGAGGGAGTGACATCACTGGGTTATGGAGCCAATGGTAAAAGGCCTTGACACCTGAAACACCAGCAAGAGTACTGAAGAACCCTGGGGGATGGTTATGATGTAAAACACCTGACCTTCAGGCACTAGGGGTCAGGGTGGCCAGTGTTATACTTTGATTTTATGGAAATCATGAGGATTTATATCCCTAAGGCTTACCATTCTGAGTTCACTCTCTGATGCCATTATCAATACACACAACCTAGCTTTGCTTCTATGACATGGTTATTGTTCAGTTGTTTCAGTTTTGTTTTACTCTTTGTGACCTACCTTATTTGGAGTTTCTTGGAATAGATACTGGAGTGGTTGACTATTTCCTTCTCCAGCTCATTTTACAGATGAGGAAACTGAGGCAAATGGGGTTAAGTGACTTGCCTAGAGTCACACACCTAGTAAGTGTATGAGGCCAGATTTGAACTCAGGAAGAGTAGTCTTCCTGACTTCAGGCTTGACACTTTATGTGCCACCTAGCCTCCCTTCTAGGAAATGGAAGGCTGGCCTAATATTTAGGGATACATTCAGGTTTCATTTGATGTAGGAATTCCTTCACTCTGATGGCAGCTTTCTTGCAGTCGCACCGGGTAGGGGATATTAATTTGCTATTAGTGTCAAAATGTGGAATTTTCCTTCCACAAAGAGCATAGAGATACCTAGAAATTTGTGAGTTACTTCTGATCAGCACATAAGGGCTAGCAGCTGGGTAGCTTGAGTTCAGGAAGGCAGAAGTATGCATCAGTCCTGATGGGAACTTTACAAAAGTCATATGTGCGGTCAAAATGCAATTGAGTGAGTAAGAGGTGAGAAAGATGCTCACTAGCAGTAGGATAGTTTTGGTGGCCCTGGTCTCAGGGGAGGCTCGAGGAGAGAGGCAGGTAATGTGAATTTGCTGGGCTTGCTTGTGATGCCTAAACAGAAGAATCACCATGTAGCCACTGGCAGAGACCATGAGTCCCAAACATACAACATCGGGAAAAGAGAGAATGGTTGCAAATAAGGAGGCATAAAATCCAGAAGGAACTACATTAGAACAGTATCCATAATGTTGTATCTCAGTCCTGTTTCTGGTGAACTTTGGTCCCTTAATTCCCCAAAGAAAAAAGACATTAAAAAGCAACTGGAAAGTCCAACAGAAGAGAGTGGAGAAAATGAGGTATTTTGGGGCTCTGGCTTTAAGTTCTGCCAAATTGGAGTTACTGGGGCTGATAGTTGTGGCCTGAAAGGCACTCAGGAGGCAAGTCATGTTGAGGGAAAGATTCCGAGCTGTTCTGTGAAGGTAAAATACAATTTTACAACCAGTTTCATCCAGGAAATTCATCAGACCCAAAACTATCACTGTCTGAGGGATGCCCTTTAGGAGAAGCGCCAAGCAGTTGGCCAAGGCCAGCTGAGTGACAATAGTGTCTACAAGTCTCATCCTATGTCCACTGAGAACCATAAAGATGAAGAGACAAATGAGGAAGGAATTCCCTAGAACTCCAATTCCTGTCTGGGAGAAGAAGGCAATACTCAGGATTATGTCTTCGGATTTCATGATAGTGGTATTTTAGTGAGAAGAACTGTCATCAAAGTCAGAGTATCTAGAGAAAAACAGAAGTTGATGATATTTGTGATCGAGCATTACCTCCTCAGTCCCAGTTAGCAGATCCTGCTGAGGCTGTCTCCTTGTGGTATTTACAGTTCTCTACACTGACACTTGGATACAGCCCTGAATCTACAGTTGTGGAAGGCACAGTTTGGTATTAAGCATTTGATGTTGATTGCTCTTTCTTAGACTCTAACAGTTCATGAAATATTCAAGTAATCATGCCTGTAAGTACAATCCCATTGAATCAGAGTTCAAAGGGTGGTCCAGTCTCTAACACTGCCAGGTTTGGTTTGTGTGTGTATATTTGAATGTATTGTCTTTTCTGTGGGAATGCTTTAGAATGCAGTCTTCTAGATTTCAATGATTTTCATTTCATATTCCCCCTGAAGCAACTATCAGAAATAATTGGTACTCAGTAGATGCTAATGGCTTCATTTAACACAATGGATGGATAGATTAATGAATATTATGTATGTATGTAAGTATATGAGAAAGAGAAGAGGAAGGAAGAGAGGTAGAACTTTCGCATTTTTCATCTTCTCATTCTCCTAACCATTGATCCTAATCTGCAGGATTCATGTAGGATATTGAAATAGTTTTTTCTCAATAGTTTTATTAATATTTTTCTCTTCCTCCTATTCCCTTACATCTGGAAAAAAGCACAACCTCCTTGTACCAAATATGCATAGTTAAGTAAAATGAATTCAGATACTAGCCATATCCAAAAATATGTGTCTCATTCTGCATTCTGAATCCATCATCTGTGTTAGTAGGGGGTAGCATTTCTAATAGAACTCCCTGCTGTAAGTCTCTTCTCTCCCCAAACCATCCTCCATCAAAACTGTCCCCTTAATATCCCTAATGTATTGATATGACAACATTACTTCCCTGCTCAAAAATCTTCAATTCTTTCTTGTTGACTATAGAACAAAAGTTAATCATCTCTCTTTGGTCTCCAAATATCTCCATAACCAAGTTCCTAACTCACTTTCCCATCTTATTTCATATTATTCTCTTTCATATAATCTCCATTTATATCAAAGTTGCTCATTGACTTTCATTTGCTGGCTTTTCTACTCTTTGGCCCTAATCTATATATCAGTGAGTTTTTCCTGGAACCTTTTTGAAGAAGGCCCAAGGTAGCCATAACAAAGGTTATTTTCCTGATGTGGTTTTAACTTTCTGGAACTCACCACTATCTATCAGCTCCCTTCCTGCTCTAGAAGTTCAGTTAGTTCTTGTGACTTTCTTAAAATAGAGATTCCCTTCCCTTCTATGGCTTCCTTTTCCCATTTGTGACTTCTTCTTGGAAACTTCACCTTGAGGAAAGGCTCTGGCTGGCCATCCTTCATTGTCTTAGCTCTGCTTCTGATTATCTTGATTTCACTACCATGCCTCAGCTGCCTTCTTATCTTAGCTCCTGTATCCTTCTTACCCTGGAAACCCTTTCCTCCAAATTTTTAAAAAAAATTTTAATTTAAAGTTTTGAGTTCCAAAACCTATCCCTCACTCTCTCCTTCTCCTCTCCCCTCCCTGAGACAATAAGCAATTAGATATAGGTTACACATGTGCCATTAAGTAAAATATTTCTATATTAGTCATTTTGTACAAATAGACTCAAATAAAAGAAAAAAGAAAGTGAAAATAGCATGCTTCAGTCTGTATTCAGTCAATATCAGTTCTTTTTCTGGAGATGGATAGTATGCTTCATCATTAGTCCTTTGGGATTGTCTTGGATCATTGTATTGCTGAGAATAGGTAAGTCATTTCCAATTCTTCATTGAACAATATTGCTGTTACTGTGTACAACATTCTCCTGGCTCTGTACACTTCACTACACATCAATTCATATAAGATTTTCCAGGATTTTTCTGAAATCATCCTGCTTTTCATTTCTTACAGCACAATAATATTCCATTATAATCATATTATAATCCATTATAATCATATAGCTTGTTTAGCCATTCCTCAATTGATGTGCATCCTTTTGATTTCCAATTCTTTACTACCACAATAAGAGCTGCTAAAATATTTTTGTACAAATAGGTTCTTTCCCTTTTTTTGGATGTCTTTGGGATATAGACCTATAAGTGTTATTGCTGGATCAAAGTGTATGCAGTTTTATAGCCCTTTGGGCATAGTTCCAAATTGCTTTCCAGAATGACTGGATCAGTTCACAACTCCACCAAGAGTGCATTAGTTTCCCAGTTTTCCCCTACAACATTCCCTACAACATCTAACACCTTCCTTTTTTGTTATATTAACCACTATGATAGATGGTACCTTAGAGTTGTTTTGATTTGCATTTCTCTGATTTAGAGCATTTTTTTCATATGACTACAGATAGCTTTGATTTCTTTGTCCAAAAACTGCCTGTTCATATCTTTTGACCATTTATCAATTGGAGCATGACTTGTATTTTTATAAACCTCACTCAGTTCTCTATATATTTGAGAAAGGCCTTTATCAGAGATATTTGTTACAAAATCCCCCTCCCCCAGTTTTCTGCTTTCCTTGTAATTTTGGTTGCATTGGTTTTGTTTGTGCAAAACCTTTTAAATTTTATATAATCAAAATTATCTACTTTACATTTTGTTATACTCTCTATATTTCTTTGGTCCTAAATTCTTCCTTTGTCCAAAAATTTGACAGATAAACTATTCCATGCTCTCTTAATTTGTTTATGGTATCACCCTTTATGTGTAAATCATGTACCCCTTTTGACCTCATCTTGGTGTACAGTGTGAGATGTTGGTCTATACCTAGTTTCTGCCACACTGCTGTCCAGTTTTCCAAGCAGTTTTTGTCAAATGATGAGTTTTTGTTCCAAAACTTTGGATCTTTTGGTTTATCATATCCTAGATTACTGTGGTCATTTACTGTAATGCAATTTGTACCTAATTTATTCCAATGATCCACCACTTTATTTCATAGCCAGTACCAGATTGTTTTGATAATTTGCTTTATAATACAATTTGAGATCAGGTAAGGCTAGACCACCATCTTTTGCATTTTTTTCGCTGATTCCCTTGATATCCTTGAGCTTTTGTTCTTCCAGATGAATTTTGTTATTATTTTTCTAGTTCTATAAAATAACTTTTTGATAATTTAATATATGTGGCAATGAATAAATAGATTAATTTAGGCAGAATTGTCATTATTATTATACTGGCTTGGCTTACCTGTAAACAATTAATATTTTTCAAATTGTTTAAATATGATTTTATTTGTGTGAAAAGTGTTTTGTAGTTGTTTTCGTATAGTTCTTGGGTTTGTCTTGGCAGGTAGACTCCCAAGTAGTTTACATTGTCTACAGTTGTTTTAAATGGAATTTGTCTTTCTATCACTGCTGTACTTTATTGGTAATATATGGCAATGCTGATGTATGTGCGTTTATTTTGTACCCTGCAACTTTGCTGAAGTTGCTAATAATTTCAAGTTTTTTTTAGTTGATTCTCTAAAATTTTCTAAGTATACCATCATATCATCTACAAAGAGTGATAGTTTTGTTTCCTCATTGCCTATTCTAATTCCTTTGATTTCTCTTTCTTCTCTTACTGCTTTAGCTAACATTTCTAGTACAATATTAAATAATAGAGGTGATGATGGTCATACTTGCTTCATCCTTGATTGTATTGGGAAGGATTCTAGCTTATCCTCATACAGATAATGCTTGCTGATGGTTTTAGATGAATATTATTTATTTTCAAGTAAGCTCCATTTATTCCTATGCTATCTAGTGTTTTTAATGGAATGGGTGCTTTATTTTGTCAAAGGCATTTTCTGCTTCTATTGAGATAATCATTTGATTTCTGTTGATTTTGTTATTCATATGGTCAATTATGCCAATAGTTTTTTTTTTGAACCAGCCCTGCATTCCTGATATAAATCTCACCTAGTCATAGTGTATGATCCTTGTGATATATTGCTGTAATATCTTTCCTGGTATTTTATTTAAATTTTTTACATCAACATTCATTAGGGAAATTTGTCTATAATTTTTTTCTCTGTTTTGGCTCTTCCTGGCTTGGGCATCAGCACCATATTTGTATCATAAAAGGAATATGGTAGTACTCCTTCTTTGCCTGTTTTTCTAAATAGTTTATATAATATTGGGATTAATTGTTTTTTAAATATTTTGTAGAATTTGCTTGTGAATCCATCTGGTCCTGTGGATTTTTTCTTTGGAAGTTCGTTGATGACTTGTTCAATTTCTTTTTCTAAGATTGGGTTATTTAAGTATTCTGTTTCTTCTGTTAATCTGGGTAATTTATATTTTTGTAGATATCCATCCATTTCATTTAGGTTGTCAAATTTATTGATGTACAACTGGGTAATAGCTCCTAACAATTGTCTTAATTTCCTCTTCGTTGGTAGTGAATTAACCCTTTTCATTTTTGATACTAGTAATTTGGTTTTCTTTTCTTTTTTTAAATCAAATTAACCAAAGGTTTATCTATTTTGTTGTTTTGTTTTTTCATTAAACCAGTTCTTAGTTTTTTTATTTATTAGTTCAGTGGTTTTCCTACTTTCAATTTTATTAATCTCTCCTTTGATTTTCAGACTTTTCAATTTGGTGTTAATTGGGGATTTCTAATTTGTTCTTTTTCTAGCTTTTTTAGTTGCATGCCCAATTCATTGATCCACTTTTACTCTATTCAACTGATATAAGCAATTAGAGATATAAAATGTCTCATAGGTACTGCTTTGGCTGAATCCTATAAATTTTGTACATTGTTAAATTGTTTTTTTTTTATTTTAAATTGTCTTTTTCTTTAATGAAATTATTGATTGTTTCTATAACTTGTTCTTTGAATCACTTTTTAAAGGATTAGATCATTTAATTTCAAATTAATTTTTAATCTCTCCATTGTCCATTATTGAATGTAATTTTTATTGCATTATGCTCTGAAAACCATGCATTTACTATTTCTACTTTTCTGCAT